CTGTGGCTCTAGTTTTCCCACTGTTGGGTGCACCCCTGGCCCGCAGGCTCTGCTCCACCTCCCCGTCTATTCAGCTCTTCACCTGCCTGCAAACCTTGACTGAGCTTCCTAGGAATCCCTTACCTGGTGGGAAAGACAGCTTCTACCATGGGGGGCTGGAGGGTAACTGATCTGAGCCCCCCACCCCAGCTTCTTGGCAACATGCCTAAGGGAGAGAACCCAGTAAGAGGCAGGATCTGACCCCCGCCAGAGTCCACCTTACCTGCCCTGCCCTGCTCTCTGCCGGGTCTCCGCCTCCCAGCCGTGCTTAAGTTCCCTGCCTTTCTGCCCACCTTGTGTCTCTAGGACTCGGGGGCTTTGTGTGAAGCTCTCCTGGTGATTTCCCTCTGAATCTCCTCCTCCAGCCTGTATCTTTTGTCCTGTTCTCCTTCTAACAAAGTCACCTCTCCCTACCTTGCTTTGCCTCCACTCTCACTCTCTCCCCACCCTAACCCTTGTGTGGGTGTCTCTTTGTCTCTGCCACAGCCTCTGCCAGGCTGCATCAGTGTGTGAGCCCTGTGTGCTGCGGTGCACCACACTCGCCTCTGCTGTCTTTCCGATGACTGCCTCAAAGTGCCCACATCGGGGCGGTGTCTGGAGGCAACAGAGCAAGATCAAAACAAGGGGGTTGTCACTTTATTTTATTTTGTTAAGATTTATTTATTTATGTATACAGGAACTGGGGTACAGGCCAGAGATGTGGGGGTGAGAGGATTCACCAGAGACAGAGTGGGGAGCAGAACAGGTGGACAACGGGCAGGGGTGAGAGGTCTGCTGCGCCATGTGGGTCAGCTCCCTGGCCGGGGATAGAAGTCCAGCGACAGCTCCAGAGTGCTGAGACTTAACCCCCTACACCACCATTTCCCTTTAAAATGCTGGTGGGATCCGCGCTCCGCTCCTGGGGCAGGAGCTGCAGGAAGCTGGTCTGTTTTCCCATTTCAGTGGCCAGGCCCCTCCTTGTTCCCCTCCCACCCTGCTCCCCAGCCCCACCCGCAGCGAGCCATTTCTGTGCATTTCTTTTTAGCACTGGTTTGATTTCCTGGAAGTAGGACTCAGGTGCAGGTGCCCCATGCTTGTGTTTGTGGGTTGGTGTCGTCCTGGGAGGCTGCGGTGGTTCTTGGCGCCTCCCAGGACACTCCAGCGCCCAGGGCATTCTGTGGCTGCAGCACCGCCAGGGCACCTCTGCCCTTCCTGATGTGTCCTGACTGCTCGCTTTTCCCTAGAAGTGCCCTCATCTCCTCATTACCCACACCCATCTCTGCATCAGAACCTTCCAGAGTTCTGCTCCCCAACTCTTCCCGGCATGGCTTCAGGACCCCCAGAACTGTGATTCTCTCACTGCCGGGCAACCCTCTCCTGGCCTTCCGCTGCCCAGCCCTGTTTCTGCCCCTGTGGAGTCAGAGCGGGTGCTGTGCCCACTGTCCTTGAGGCAGGATGTTTTCCGGCATTCGCCCCTCTCACCCCACCGATCAGCAGTGGGAACACCTCCTCCGTGCCTCGAGGTCAGTGTGAGGTTAGCGGCTGGGGCTAAGTGAAACAGTCCGACTGTGGGTGCCCCTGGCAGGAGGGCAGTGCAGTGTGGATGGGCTGTAACAGGGTGATGAAGAATCATTAACTAGTAACTCAGGTCTCTGAGGGCCTGCTGGCAAGTCATGGAAGGCTTCTCGAGGAGATCACACTCGATGCCCGGGAGTGGAGGGAGCAGCATCGCCCCCCCCACCCGCCCCAGGGGGAGCTGTGGCTGAGCTTAGTGTGTGCACAGAGAGCATGGGGCTTGGTGAGGCGGGCATGGGGCACCCCCTTAATGACCAGCCAAGAGGGGGGCACTGGTAGGCTTTCTGAACGCTACCTCGCCCACTGGCATGGCTGAGGGACTGTTTGGGGGGCAGGAAACACTGCATGTGACTTCCACAGCCCAGGGCTGCCTTTTTTATCCAGCTAAGTGACTCTCTGACTTCTTCAGGGTCATTGTTTCCATCCCTGTCTCCAGTCTAAATGGTTTCAACCGGACCTAAACCAAGAGGGAGTTCTACTGCCAAATCCTTAAAATGACTGATACCACCTTGAATGTCATGTCCCTGCTCAGGTTTCCCATCGCCCCCTCTTATTATCTAGCTGCCCAGGATAAACAAGGTCTTAAGCTACCATGTAGTGGGCACGTGCAGAGGACGTATCAGGCAGGTCATACACTCCATCCTACTAAGGTCACAGCAGTCCAGGGGCGGGTCTCGTCACCCCCCGTTCACCAGTGATGGCAGCGAGGTTTGGAGAGTAAGTCACCAGGCGGGCACCAGGCGGGAAGCAGCGGGGGCTCTGCGGAACTGTCCGTCTCCTAAACCTGCCCTCTTGGAAAGGAACTTTGCAGTCTTTGGTCCAGACTTGTCATTGCGCAGGTGAGTGAGGGAGGCCAAGAAGGGGACGCCACACTGCCAAGGACACACCACTCCTCCCTCCAGCAAGAGCCCCCTCGGACCCCACTCCCAGAGCTTCCCACGTGGGCCCAGCTGCAGGGGGAGCCCTGACTTCTCACTGTCCTCCCCAGATTGCCTCAGAAGATCCTGCTGGCATCCAGGCCCCTCCAGGCCCCTCCCTGCAGCAGGAAAGCTAGCCGTGAATCTAAATTCCCTCCCTGAGGCAGGGTTCACAGGCCACTTCACTCCCAAGCCCTTGACTTGGGCTCAGGGGGCCATGGGAAGGAGAACCGTGAGTATGGAGTTTGCAGCATGTATCTGCACTAGAGAAATGCGCAAGGATATGAATAAATTTGAATAATAATGAGGACAATGCCTGAATTAATAATGCTGGCTGCTCACCTGACCCACCTCCTCCCCCAGGATCTCAGCACCTGCCACCCTAATCCCTGGAATTATGGAGGGAATTTATCCTTCGCTTCCTCAGAAGGCATGGATGGGCTGTCAGGTCCCAGAGTTGGGGAGCTGCTCTGGAAGTGTGGGGGAGGGACCTGCTCTAATGTCCTGACAGTGCAGACCCAGAGAGCCGAAGAGGCTGCCTCTTTGCAGTCAATCAAATGCTGGCCACCAGTCCACTCCCAACCCCACCCCTCCTCCTGAAACCCTTTATGTGCAGCCGTCAATGTGGGCGTCAGATGTTCAGGGAGAGTGGCAGGTAGGAGGCAGCATGGCGCCCGCCTTCCAGGAGTGGCTCTCAAGGCTCTCGTTCTGGTGTCGCAGACAGGGCACAGGCCCCTTCCACCAGCTGCCCCCAACCATGACAAACAGAAACATGGGCACTGACTGATAGCTTGGGACAGGCGATTGCATGGGCCAAGTGTGAGCGAACAAGGGGCTAAAGGGACCAGTCTGGGAGGGCTCACTGGAAGAGACAGTAAAATGGAGCAGCAGGAAAAGAAGAAGGTGAGAGGATGAGGCTAAGTCCTTGCTTCTGTTGGCTTGGTGGGGTTGGGGGGAGCTCTTGGAAAAGGATGCACAAATTCCCCTTGGTTTTACACACAGAAAGAAGTGATGGAGGAGCCAAAAAAATTTTGGAAAGTTTAATTTGAAAAGGGCTGGATTCGGGCCTTCCTGGTGGCTCAGGGGTTAAGTCTCAGCACTACCAAGCTATCACTGGGCACTGTAGCCTGAGTTCGATCCCCAGCCAGGGAGCTGACCCACATGGCGCAGCAGACCTCTCCTGGCCCACCTGCTGCTCCCCTCAACAGTGTATTTCAGTCAGTCTGCCTGTTCTGCCCTCCACTCTGTCTCTGGTGAATCTTCTCACTCTCTCCCCATAACTCTGGCCTTACCTCAGTTCTTATATGCATAAATAAATAAATCTTTTTTTTTTTTTTTGTAATGGCTGGATTTGGGGATTGTAGTATCTGCAGTGACATAGGGACTGTGGAAGGAAGGCAGGGGAAGGAGTCCCTTGAGTGCAGAGAAAGCCAATTTGGGCAGCGGTGTGACAGATTGGGGACATGCCTAGGACTCCCCAGACCTCTTCCTTTGCTGACCCCCATCTGCTCCATCTCCCTTTCTACCAAGGAAGAGGAAGCTGATGGTCGTGGGCCTGGCCTGCCCCCAACCAGTACTGGTTGGAGCGGGTGGGTGTGAGCAGTGGGGGAGAAGAAACCCACAATCCAATTCCCTGCTCCATTTAGGCTCCACAATTAAAGGCAATTACTCTGCAGTTTTCTAATCAAATGCTCCTGGCCAAGCCGAGCTGCCAGCCGGGCAGCCATGTGTAGCTCCCACAGCCAGAGGGAGAGAGGAACAAAGTCACGTGGCTTGTGCTCCCTCTGTGGCGAGGGGTGGGGGGCTGCCCTCCTGTCCCCAGCGCAGGGAGCAGGGGTGAGCACCCAGAATAGGGCCAGTGTCCGGAAGTGGGTAGGAGTGTTGGTGTCTGGGGTGCACCATCGCCTGCCAGGCAGACGCCCCGCAGACAGGCAGACACGCCTGCTCCGTGGACGTGCACTCACTGTGTGTGTTCCGGGACTCTCTCTGGCTCGGCTGCATGTGTGTCACCACATGTTGCCTAACAGCACAAGTCCGAGTGGGGGCCTGGTGCATTTGTGTCCCAGGGGTGCAGGGGTTGTGACACCCCGGCAGGGCTTCTTATGAACGCTTCACTGTTACACAGACACAGAGGAGCAGCCCAGGGCTGGGGTGCTGAGGCGCAGACTCCATTCCCCTGACTCACTCTGTACCCTTAGCTCAGTGTCCCCATCTGTAAAGCAGGATGTCTGGCCAGGCAGTCCCTAAGGCTTCTCTGGACACCACACACTGCTGGTGATACCTAAGCACTTCTGCTCCTGAGACTCCTCCCTGGCCTTGGGGGAGAAACGAGACGGAAAAGGCCGAAGTGGGCTGAGACTGGAGAGTCTGCCTTTCCAGCCCTGAGCTGTCTCTGGCCTGCTGCAGGCTGGGAGTGGGGGCCTGCAAGGTTGACTTGCCGGCCGAGCTCCCTCCTCACTCGTCTTACCAATGCCACTTTGGCTTTGCCAGGAACCCAGACGCGCTTCAGCCAGGAGCCAGCGGACCAGACCGTGGTGGCTGGGCAGCGGGCCGTGCTCCCCTGTGTCCTCCTCAACTACTCGGGGATCGTGCAATGGACCAAGGACGGGCTGGCACTGGGCATGGGTCAGGGCCTCAAAGGTGAGTGGGATAACAAGCAAGCCAGCATGCAGACTGTCCCATCTTTCCTTGCCGATGGCATACATCCAGCGCGCAATACCCCTGCGCTCCTCACACGCCTCCCCTGCACTCCAGCCTCCCCAGCCCTGTGTGTGTGCTCAGTGTCTCCACTGCTTCCCACCCCCGTCCTCCCCTGTGGCACTGCCTTCCCTCCTGACCATGGACTGGCTCAAGGAAGGCAACAGAACGCTCGAGAGATCCAGGGAAAATAAGAGACCTTTACACAGCGACCTTCACACAGACACACTGGTACCGGAGAGGAGCTGCAGACGGACAGGCGACACTGGGGAGGTGGGAGAGGGATCTCCTGCAAGGATGGGGGAGAGCACAGTCGTTTCTCCGTTCACAGGGTTTCATGCCTACCGGGCTTGGTCCAGCCGCTCCTGCCCCTGCCCAGGCCGTGACTGCTCAGAAGTCAAGAACACCTTTTAGTATCAGCCAGGGCAGTTATTTATTCATTCATTCGACACGCCTCCATGCAACACTATGGAGCCAGTGCAGAAGCAGTCATGAGTCCTTAAAAAAAAAACAGACAACAAAAACCCAATCTCCTATGTTCCAAAACAAGTAAAGAAACTGGAAAGGGCACCTGGCGGAGTAGATGAGTCAGGACACCTGCAGTCTAGCCTGCCTCCGCTCCCTACCAGGGGTGACCTCAGAAAAGCCACTTCACCCCCCAGGCCTTGGTTGACTCACGTGTAAACAGGCATATGGTCACAGGCCTGTCTGCCTGCAAGTGGCTTTGTGAGTTGTGGACCAAATGAAAGAATGTGCTTTGTAAAATCACATTGTTCACTGTAAAACAGTAACATGTTTTACAAGTTACTGATCCTTCCTAAAGGAAGGATCGTATATTTGCATTCTATTTGCCCTGGGTGGGTGGGGGGGCGGGTGGGAGGGGGTTAGATTATTTGCTGTTTCCATATCTTAGTCCAAGTAGGGGGAATTTGTCTGTATAATCCGAATAAAGGAAAGTGATGAATCTGGTGGGTCTATTGATAGAAAGAGAAAGAAACTGGGAGAGAGAGCAATCAATAGATATGGAGTGAGAAGAATCAATAGTCTTTGGACAGTGGGAGGTAATGGGAGGGAACAAGGCGAAGGTGTAGGAGGGCAGGGTGTGGGGGTTGCAGAGAGCCTGGAGGAAGGAGGGCCCTGGAGACAGACTTGGGGCTCAGAGGGCCCCTGCCAGGACCTGGCTTTCAGGAGACAGCACTAAGGGCACTGGCCAGAGCTGGCAGGAGCCCGCCCCTTCCGCCCTTGGTG